GCATTTTTAAACAGTATACAGTTTAATCTCAGATTAAGTATATTGAGACTAAATATTAGTAAATGATTGCTAGTTTGTTCTTGGAATTGTTTAGGACAGTGTTTCTCAACCGTGGCAACTTTGAGATGTGTGGACTTCAAGGCTGGCTGGGAGATTCTGGGAGTTGAAGTCCATGCATCTTAAAGTTGCCAAGGTTGAGAAACATTGGTTTAGAGAATTTGCATAGACATAGGTGGTATAAGACCATTGAATTGGTTGAGGAAAAAAAATTCACGGTTTTTATTCATAGGTTGAACCAATTTATAATGCACTATGTACCATTATAGTGCTCTGAATCACTAGAAGTGCTCCTTATAACTGCTGTGGAGAATATCGGAAGCCACTTCTTCATATCTTCTGTCTTTTCTATTTTTCTTCACCTTTTTTTCTTTTCTTACACTTTTTGCTTTCTCTTTGCTTTCTTTTTTTTCTTTTTTCTTCCTTCCTCTATATTAGTTTGTATTAGTTTTTATCTTTTTTTAAAAAAGTTTCAATAAAAATCATCTTTAAAAAAGTGAATCACTAGAAGTGCTATGCATATTATGAACTGCAAGTTTATTCCAGAACATATATTATGTATGCTGACAAACCAAGTTCTACAAAGAATTAAAGAAATGTATTCTCATGACCTCTTTTATTCCTTTAAATTCCTAACTGATTTGTAATTACAAGTAGGCAGTTTGCACAGACAAACATATTCTTCCAGGAAACTCCATAGTCTTTAAGTTATCACAGTCATTTTTTACTGTTACAGACTAGCAGATCTTGCCCGTGTTAATATTATATTAATTAGCATTGCATATTTCCACTCAAGAGTGCTTGTTTTAACCACAGTGGGCAATTATGAATGATGATTTGTGTGTTCATTCATCCCACCCACTGTTCAGCTTTTTGTAAGCACCCAGTGGTCAATGTATTATCCAGGTGTTATTTCATCTCTGATCAATAGAGGGCAGTCCTATAACAAATCATAAACATCTTTTTGGCCACCTGTATTCATTTACCTGCTCAATGATTATTGTATAGCTATTTTCATATTTTCAAAACTATATGCTGAATATACAACCTTGGTTACAGATATTGATTAATGTAGTACTCTTCACCAATATACTGTAATATGAAAATTCTAATTTCCTACACACATCATTGAAATCAAGCAATTTAAGCTAACGTTTTCAGATATCAGTGTCTTCATATAGTCTTTTTTATAACATTAGCTATTTTCATATTTTCAAAACTATATGCTGAATATACAACCTTGGTTACAGATATTGATTAATGTAGTACTCTTCACCAATATACTGTAATATGAAAATTCTAATTTCCTAAACACATCATTGAAATCAAGCAATTTAAGCTAACGTTTTCAGATATCAGTGTCTTCATATAGTCTTTTTTATAACATTTCTACTAATTCAGTGTTTTGGGTGGAAAAAGAGTTGTCTCTGTTTGGGCTGCTGATAGTCTCTAACCTTTGCAAGGGTGGAAAGCTCATCAAATGATTGGCCTGGGACATTTTACATTCTAATGTCTGCTGAAGGATATTTCTGGCAGTCACTATCCAAAATGAGTTGTCTTAAGATGATCAGTATTATTGCTTCTATAAATGTATAGAACTAATTAAAATTCTTCGTATATTGAAAAGTTGAGGACAGTTCTGGCAACTAGAGTTCTGATGGGGGGGGGGGACATGCTAAACCCAAGCTAGAGTCCACTTTAAGATCTATTGTGGAAGCTGGCAATCTTTTCAGGCTTTGTGCACACCCAGCCAAAGAAATCTTCAGAATTCCTGGGGAGGTGGGGGGTTGGGGAGGGAAAAGTTCTAAAAATTCAAGCCCCACATAAGTGCATTACACAGTTTCTGCCTGCTGTAGTCCTTGTTCTTCTCAAAATTAAGTGTGCCCACCCCCCAGTCATCAAAAGGTTGACCAGCCCACGTTTTTACATGTGTGTGAACCCAGTCCTGGTCTGGACGATGGCAGATAAACTGGCACTTAATGCATGGAAAAAGTAAGTGTTATTCGTCCAGAGTCCTTTAATTTAGGTTGTGGTAACCCCTAAATGATGAAACACTTCCACAGAAGAATGAAATATGCAGTTTGGGAGTGATTCTGAATGCTGTGTTGCTTTTGCACGTTCAGTTGGTGTTGGGACTGCACTTTATAACCTTTGTCTGACTCAAGTACAACCTTATCTGGTGAAGATTAGACGAGGTTTCACTAATGGTTCATTACTGATATGCTGATTGGAATGCTGCAAAGTTTTCTGTATAACTTTAAATGATCTCTTGGATACTCTGATTGATACAATATGCAGCCACCAGATGTCTAAGGTAAGAGTGATCAGAACAGCTTAGGTATTACTGTACCTCTCTTTTGGTCATCAGTTTCTTTCTAAGCTCAGCTTAAAAGTGCTGGTACTAGCCTTTAAATGACCAGGGAAAGCCATATCTAATAGTTAACTTTGTTCATGTGATTCTGCCCAGGGTTGAAGATCACTTTCAGAGAATCTGTTTTCTTATAGATCCATAATGGGTATTGGTTTGACAGAGCCCTTAAAGTCCCTTTCTTGGTGAGGTTCAGCAAAGCCCTACCTTCTTGCCTTTAAACATCTTTTGAAAATGTATTGGCATAAGCTTTTTGTGTTGGATTTCTACTATTTCAAAATTTTGCTATTTTTACATGTCTTAGTAATACTGAATATTTGTGTGTGTGTGTGTGTTGCTAATTATGAACATTAATGTGCATGTGTATTTTATAATTATGCTTTATTGTAAATTGACTTAATTTACTCAACAATGAAATAGAACTTTAGAGTGCAATTGTCATCCTCATCATCCAAATGAAAATTGTCATTAAAGGGTTGGATTACTAGTTTGGTTTTTAAAAATGAACTCATACATTGAGCTCTTCTGAAATTTCTGAGTCAAGTCTACATCTGTTTAACTTCAACTGGGCTGTAGGAGCCTAGATTTCCCACTATGAGCCAAGCATGAGATAAATGTGCAGTTAATCTAGTTTCTGAATACAGTTTAAAACATATGTGCACTTCTTGTGCTTTACTACTATTAGTATTTTATAACAGTTGCCAATTATTTTGTAGCACTTCCCAGCTTTGTGATAGCCAGCAGATTGATAGCACCATTACATCTCTTCCTGACTTTGGATCATCAACTCCTGAATTCGCTAGTGAGATAAAGCAATCTATCCAAGAGAGTAGAAAACCCATCCTTGAAACCAAGAGGTATGTCAATTCCATTGGACAGAGGGAAATTCTAACTCCATGTGAATCTTTTTTAGGATATCAGTATTTTATAAGCCATATATTGCACAGTACTGTATATGGCACAGAAACAACATGTTTTAATTAGTGTAATTAGTACACTAACCAACTTATGCTACAAATTAACCAACCAACTGGCTGAAATTGAAGGTAGCGTTTTGATGGTTTCACAAATAGACGGCTTTCCTTTTCCTGCCAAACCTGACGGGAAAAATGGTTTCCTTCCTGTAGGAGTTCAGAGCAAGCAGATGGTTTGCATTTTGTTATAAAATCATTCTGGATTTCCTTTTAGCAGGCGAACATATATCATGCTGTTGGAGAAAGTTGTGTTATTAAAAAGTGCAGAATTGTAGGAAGTGAAAACTGTTGTCTTTCAGTAAGTCTTCAGGTGAAAGGTGTCATTAAATTGGAGGCATCTTTTGGGGTAGGTGGAGAGGCATGATGTATGAGGCTTGAGATTTTGATGTTTTTATGGTTTTCTTATATTGTAAACTGCTTAGAATCTATTGAGTAGATGGCAGACAAATTTATGAAGTAAGTAAATGTGGTAAGTAAAATAAAAACAAGATATAAAATAAACAGAAGTGTAACTACATCTAGTTTACATGAAGACATTCACTATATATCTCCATACTTCTCTGTCCTTGAAACCATCCTTTCTTGTACCCCATCCAAACACAAATTAATGCTTTGCCTTTTGTTCTTAAATTCTCATCTCTCTTTTTGAGGATCTTAACCATTATATCAAACCATGATGTCCTCAATTTTTTCTTTCAGTTTCCACACTATCAAGTCTTCTTTCATATATAGTACAGTGGTACCTCGGTTCACGAACTTAATTCGTTCCGTGACACTGGTCGCGACCCGAATTGGTCGCGACCCGAATCAAATTTCCCCATAAGGTTCAATGTAAA